AATCCAATTCTCATTTCTATTCGGATTTAAACCTCGAAGAACACCCTTGTGAATTTCAACATACGGCTCAACTTCAAGCTCATTATGCAGAACATACAAATGCACTTGATCCCGTTCGACCATTGATACTGTCACAACTTTATTTCCAATTAGCTTCTTACCTTCTTTTTTTTCAAAAATGTGAGATTTGGGGAGTCCAATTGATTGAACATTTGACAGATATTCAGTACAAAACTCAATCGCTTCTTCAACAATATATCGTTCAGCAATACAACCCTCTGGTTGACTTCGGTTTTTCACATACCCTTTTAATATTTTCATATAACGTTCAGTAGGGTACATCCATCTCATATAAGTTGGTCCGCAGAGTTGTGTCTCTTTGACAAGATGAACGACAAGATGAACCATTATGTCAAAAAACGAGGGAGGGAAATACATTTCAAGATCACACAAAGTAACAACTATTTCTTTTTGCAATGTTGGTAAGATCTCAGGATCGATCACCTTGCTGCAAATTGACTTGAAGAAAAAACACAGTTTAGTTATTGCGCTTCTTACTTTTTCTGGAAGAATAGAACGTATACCTATCGGTAGAAAATGTTCCATTATAACATGGCAATCATGCGTCTTTAAACTCTTTAACTTGAGGTCTTGCATAGACACAAGTCTTCTAATATCTGATGAGTAGCCTTCTGGAACTTTAACCTCACTTAGGAACTTACACAATATTTTTTTCTCCTTTCTGGATAGAGTGTAAACAGCAGGTGGTAGATATGTTCGTGTTCCTTTTTTCATGGGTCCCAATTCAGTTCTTATTCCCATCTCTACCATGTCCTCCCTTGCTTTAAGACCATCCTTAGACTTCCCTTTTATATTGAGTAACGTACCAATAACACTGTCAAATACATTTTTTTCAATATGCATAACATCAAGAAAATGTCTTACGTACAAAGATTTCCAATATGGCAATTCAAAAAAAATCGACCTCTTCTTCCACCCACCTGTAACAACTTTATGTGCAAAAGGCTTGCCAAATTGAATACTCACATCTTTCACCTTTTCAAATAATTGATCACCTGTCAATCCATGCGGAGCTCTACGTTGTTCGGTATCTCCATTGAACGCTTTTCTCCATCCACGATATTGATGTTTAGAATTTAAGAATCTACGATGACCGAGAAAGACATTCTTCTGACAAAGTTTCAATCGCATCGTATCGGTTCCATCTTCACAGATAGGACACGCTTTTTCACCTTTAATGCTATACCCGGATAGATTTCCGTAGGCTGGAAAATCGTTAATTGTTCCAAACAACATCTCCCTCAAGTTGAAACTTTCTTTCCTATACCCATCATAAACCTCCACACCGTTCTCCCACAAAATCTTCAAATCTTCGATTAAAGGTTCCAAATATACGTCTATGTCATTTCCTGGTTGTTTAGGCCCAGAAATTAACATAGATAACATCATGTACTTACGCTTCATACATAGCCACGGAGGTAGGTTATAAATCATAAGAATTACAGGCCATGTGCTATGAGAGATACTTTGAATACCGTGTGGGTTCATTCCATCAGTAGACAATGCCAAGCGAAGGTTTCTTGCGTCTTTTCCAAATTCAGGATAATCATTATCAATTTTCATCCACTGTGGTGAATCTGCCGGATGTCGAAACTTTCCATCAACAATTCTTTCATCTGCATGCCAAGTTAAGTGTCTTGAATCGGTTTCACTACGATACATCCGTCTAAATCTCAGAATTATAGGAAAATACCATAAGACTTTTGCCGGAGACAACTTTTTCTTATATCGAGGGGCACCTCATTTAGGACACTCATTTAACGATGCATACTCGTTTCGAAACAAAACGCAATCTTTTGGACAGGCATGTATCTTGTCATAGCTCATGCCAATAGAGTACAACATCTTTTTGGCCTCATACGTTCGATTGGGGAGAACATTATCCTTTGGTAGCATATCTTTCATAAGGGCTAATAACTCTGTGAAACTTTTATCCGACCATCCATTGCCCGCCTTTAAGTTGTACAACTTTAATACCGCAGACAATCTTGTGAATTTTATACAACCATTATACAACGGTTTCTCTGCATCGCTTACCAACCTCTCGAACATTTTGGGACAATCATTAAAATCTTCTTCAAGCGCTTCTGCAATCTCTTCAACTCGATCATAATCGTATGTATCTGTGCCATTGTCGTTTGAAGCATAGGTCCTATTATCCCCCGATTCATCATTCCCGTCACTTTTCTCACCATGCATATTCCAACATGTATAACTTCTATCAATTCCATACCGTATTAGATGCGATGCCAACTGAACCGCGTCAACCCGATTCCCATAACAGCAACACAAACAAGGACATGTCATTCGACCGGGGTCTTCGGCGTGCGCAACAGCAAACTTAACGAATTCCGATACCCCGTTCTTGTACTCTTTCGACAATCGATTGGAATACATCCATGTCTTATCCATGGTTTACGGTTTCTGAGTCAATCTGAGCTAAATGATAAATTAGAAAACAAAACCAATACTCAAAACTTGCACTTGCTCTTGCACAACCATATAACAAAACCAATACTCAATACTTTTCACTAAATTCATTTTATTCTATCAACTACTTTAGTACACAAGTATAAAACAAGAAACCATAAACAAGAAACTATCATTGCTCAAAATCAATCATAAATTATGTGTGTACTCAAACTCAAAAAATATAAAATTTTGTAGTTCAGTTGTACTATCAATGGAATGTATGCTACAAGTAATGATGAAAATAGGGGAAATGTACATTTGCATGGATGCTTCATTCATTCTCGTAAAGTCTTTTGACTTCTAAACATATATAGCGAGGCTAAATATTTTGGTTTACAATAGTGCATATAGTACATATTTAACTGATATGTCTATTATATGTGAAAACTTAGAGATGACATTTATATTGTGTTGTATGAGAGAAAAAATCGTACACACACTCTACAAAACTAAACTATAGAGTAAGCTATGGAGCAGGAAATGAATGGTATTTACTATCAATATGTTGTAGGCAAACAACAAGGCAAAACCATAATTATGATCCAATCAAAACCCAACCACAACAAACACTGTATCTGCGATAATATAGTTAATATGGAATGTGAAAGAATCTGCATAAACTAGCGACTCTGACCATCAGACATGCAAACTCCAACACATATGCATTCCTCTACCACTATAGAAAAAAGTAATGCTACACAAAATTCCTATATCGAATTAACTAAAAGAATTATTAGAAGATAGTCACATCTTTATTCATACAAAACTATTCTAGAAATTAGAATCAAAGCAAACATAGAACAATTTATTCATACAAAACTATACTAGAAATTGACATACCTAGAACGGAGGCGGAGGTCCTGATGAACGGAGGCGGAGGTACTGATGAGCGGAGGCGGAGGTACTGATGAACGGAGGCGGAGGTACTGATAAACGGAGGCGGTGGTCCTGAACAAGATTCCGTAGATGCTAACGGCGGCAGAGCTCTGGTTTAGGGATTTGAAGATTTCGTGAAGAACAATAGAAAAGTGATGATACGAATTTTTGATTTTTATTATAAAACTACCTACGAAAGCGCTTTTAAAAGCGCTTTCTAAAGGTCACCTATAACAGCGCTTTTTAATGTAAAAGCGCTTTCGTAGCATATCCTATAGCAGCGCTTTTAAAAGCACTTTCTAAAGGCCAGCTTTAGCAGCGCTTTGTAAAAGCGCTTTCTAAGGCTAACCTTTAGCAGTGCTTTTTGAAAGCGCTTTCTTAAGGTACCCTCTAAAAGGCACCCTTTAGCAGCGCTTCTCAAAAAGCGCTTTCTAAGGGTGACCTTTAGCAGCGCTTTCTTAAGGCACCCTTTGAAAGCGCTTTTTTGAAGCGAATTTTTTTTAAAACCTACAGCAGCGCTTTTACCTAAAAGCGCTTTCGTATGTGTGCTGCTAAAACTTATTTTTGGCGTAGTGAAATTGTCATATTATGTTTTTAATATGATTTCACTGGAAATAGAAAACCGTTATGTTCAATACTAAACGGTTAATTGAGATATTATTATGTTGATTGATTTTATCATTATGATTAATTCCATATGACTTGTGCATATCAGAGTTTTCAATAATTAGGTTCGATTAGACTACTATATTTGATCTAGGCCAAAAACCTTTCGCTCAACGTTGTTTTTCAAATAAGTTTTAAATAATCATTTTGAAAGGTAGTTTTCATTTGGGGATCTATTCACCCCTCACCCCCTCTCTAGATATGGTGTCGTAGTCTAACAGGATCCTAATTTAACCAAAAAAAACTTAAAGGACTAATAAAATTATGAAATTGATTAATAATTTTACAATTATTTTTTGAAGTAAAATAAAGTTGATTAATATATTATAAAATATTGATTAATGAATTTTTGAAGTTGATTAATCAAACAATTATAAATCAGTCTTTTAATCTAAAAAATAATAAATAGTAAATAAATTTTTTTATTTAAAAAATATTAAATAATTTTACTTTTCACCGTATGGTAAACATTAAAATTCGGTGTAATATCATATAATAGTTGTAAGATAGCATTGCTCAATGTGAGAATGGTAATAGAACCAAAAATTGTCCCTTAGAATTATCAGTATGAGAAGTGCTCCCATAATCATAGCAAACATCAATCTATAAACTGTCAAAAATAGATAAAAAGAAGAAAGACAATAACCTATATCCTCCATTTGACCTGTTCCAAATTCATGTTGCACCATAAACCTATAGTTTTGTTAAAAATAAAGCTCTAAAAATTATTTTCTTTAAAAATAAAATTAACACCCCATAATCCTAGAGTTTTGTTACATATTTATGTTCAACAAAACTTCAACTAAAAATAAACACCGAAATTTCAGCAAAGAACATTGACGTTATCTATGGTTCATCTAATATATATACAACCACCATTGCCCACAAATAATCATCAGGAAGAGGAAAAATACAAATTTGTTTGACATTTTAAAGTTTAAACAAAAAATGTCAAACAAATTTGTTGCATTGTTGTTGTTGTCATGTATTGTGAGCGTTCAAAGTTATGTTAACATAATAAGCCCAGCAGAATGCTTTGATTATTGCTACCATGCCATGGCTATGCCCAAAATCATTGCCGAAAAAGTGTGTCATTGGCGTTGTGATAATTTCGCCATGTACGAAGGTAAGTTTCACTACATCATTTTTCTCTAGCTTCATTTCAAATCATTCTTATGTAAATACTATCGATCCATGCCCTAGATGATGTCTTAAAATTTGATAATTTTTTTATATGATGTAGCTGTTAAGTCGGGGGGATTGAGAGGAAAGATTCATGACTTCTCCGGTCCAACTGCATCTCCGGCGAGTTCTCCAGTCCCATAACAGAAAATTCATTGGGAACGGAAACCAAATTATGGATAGAAGAATGAGATAGCTTGATGAGCCAAAGAAATTCAAGAAAAACACAAGGCATTCTCATGTATTCTTATTCATTCATGTCACAATCTATTTTCCTCTTCCTTTTCATTTTTCTTCCAACAATTAATAAATTCATATTCTTGATATTATGATTCTCTTAATTATTTTCTATTTTTTGTTACAATTTAAAAATAAAGTAATCAAATTCTGTAAAAGATATACTTTAATGTTCCTGGACAGCATCTAAGTGAGGTGGCTTAACAGGACCATTAATATACTTTTAAAACAATATATAAACTTAATACATTAATATTTGAATTTTGGGATCACTAATACATAAAATTGGAACACTTACATTTTTAAAAGACACCGTCTTTTGAAAAAACATATTACCTAAACTTATATAATGATATTAAAACGTTACATTAAAGCATTTGATTACATAAAAGCATATTTTAAAAGATATACAAAGTTTTAATATCAAATTTTCTGGACGTGACGCCTTTTACTCCCTTTGGGGTTGGTTCTGTTAATGGTGTATCTCAGGATCTACAAGCAGTTTCACCAACAACGTGGTTAATCCGATTTGCTCTTTGCTGGCGGTCGGTTTTCGACATCAGTTGATTTGTTGGGATATGGTTTTTGTCATTTATTGGTGTTGTAGTTTAGCGACATCATTTATGGTTTTTTCGGTGATACTTGTGGATGTTTTATTGTTATCCGGTGATTTTCTTTAACGACGGTGGTTTCGCCACTATCGTGGGTTTGGGCTGCTAGTCAGAATGGTGTCCGAAATTTTGTTTATCTGATTGTTTTCAGATCTGTTGAGATCTGCAGATATCAAGAGTTACAATTTTCTTCTATGTGCTAGAGTCAAATTAATATCTATATAAGTCATTATAATTGATATTAGGGGTGTGTATAGTTACTATATATCGTGATCCAATCCACTTTTGTGGTTATGGTTTACAAACCAAACCATTAATCACAAAAATTGATTTAAAAAACATAATTGGTTTCAAACCGGTTTGAAATCAATTTTAATTTTAATCTAAATTATTTAAATATAATTTAATCTATATTCAATTCATTTTAATTAATAAAATTTTAAAATTAATTCAGTACTAATTATTTTAAACATTAATAAAGCACATCTTTAATTTAATTTTAAGTAGATTTTAAAAAATTGTCGTAGTCGTATTACAACTTTTGCAATTTCGGTCGATAGAGGTGTTACGACATTGATTGTGTTCGTCGCAATGTAAATTATTAATTATAATTTGTTTTTTAATATAAAACGGATATAACAGTATCGATATCAACATATGTCGAAAATATTTTGTCGTAGTCGTTCTCATGGGCACAAAGCATTTTTTAAAACCTTTTTATGTTTAAATGATCCTTTTTGTTTTATCAATCCTAAAAGAAAAATCAATTAATACTGAAATAGTATTAATTAATTCACTGTGCACATTCGTTTTCTTATATAAAATATATGTATGTTGAATGAAAAGAGATCAAGTTCAAACAAATTTCTTTCAAATTTAAATTTGTCTTCTACCGTGATAATAATATATCTTGTTTTTTAAATGTTTAGTATACTATATCTTTCAATTTATTTGAGAGTGTTTGCATATTTTTTAACTATAATTCAACATTTTTATATTTATTTAATAATTAGTCATTTGAAATAAAGTGTTAAACATCATTCAATTTTTATGAAAATGTGTAGAGCTTATTTTCTTGAGAAAGTGTGAAAATTGGAAAGCAGGAAAATTTGATGAGAAAGAAATTTGGATATCCAATAACCATTTTATGGGTACCCGGTTTACCACGTTGACCATAGATGGACCACCAAATCCAATATTTAATATTTGGATTGGATTTTAATAAAAGGAACAATTTGGATATGAATTTGGTTATCAGTAACCAGTTTTTTTGCACACCCCTAATTGATATCAGACTATTTTGAATTTGCATTATTCTGTTCGTTTGATGTTGGATTATTTGGCCTGAAAGCGTCATCTTGCCTATTGTATTTTTATTAAAGGGGGTTGCTAGTTTGTAAATCTTCTCGCATTGACAGATGGTTCATTTAACTTCTAGACAAGTGAAGGCTCACACGTGACTTTTTTCTTTTTCTATTTGGTTTCACGTCCGTACACTAGTTCGTTGGATGTGTTTGTCATGTGTGTGTTTGTTTTGATTTTTTAAATCTTTTTTGTTGTATCTGAGTTGTTTGTATACCCTCTTTAGGATGATTATGTGATTTATCTGAGTTTGGTTGATGTTCCTCCAGTTTGTTCTCCTTCTTTTTTTTTTATATATTTGGCTTTATTAAAAAAAAATTATGACATGGATGCGTCACTTATAATCTTAATATTTATATTAAAAATTAAATACCTTTCACCATAATCTAAACTAGCAACCATTGAGAAACATACTTATAATTTATCACCATCCGTTTATGTAACCGTGTTTAAAATTTTAACATATATTTAAGTGAAAATTTTCTCTTTAAGGACAAAACAATTGTTCTCTCAAAACGAAATCCTAACACTCTCTCACGCCTTTTTAATACACCGTGAACGGTCTATACCACTTCTTCACAAAACTCCAACATATAATTTTTATCTCTTATGGATCAAGGAAAGGATTAAGGAAATGATCAAGGAGAGGTATTACACAAAACTCATATCTCTTCTTTCATATTCACAATTAATGTAAGCGAGGCTTTTCCGCATTTTATTTTGTCGTTGAGTTTTGCTTTTTTTTTTTTATATGTGGTATGTGGCTTAAGGTTTGTTGTTGTTTATAAAAGTTGTATGTTATTTATGATTTAGTTTTTATTATTTTATGGTGTATGTAATTTAAGATATTATGTTGTATTTAATAAAAGTTGTACATAGTTGATTATTTAGTTTTTGTTAATATATATTGTATGTTGTTTAAGGTATGTTGTTGTTGATAAAAGTTGTATGTAGTTGTTGATTTAATTTTTATTGTTTTATGTTGTATAAAGTATGTTGTTTAAGTATGTCCTTGTTGATAAAAGTTGTATTTTATTGTTGAAAACTCCTATTTGCACAGATTTTTGACGAATAACCTCTTGCCTCTTAATCAAAGTTCACTTATAGAATCAGATACAAAATCTTAGACTTAGTGTTAAATTTGATGTGGGTTTTTGCTGTTTAAATTGGGTAAAAATTGGGAAGCAAAAAACGAAGCAAGAAACTTAGACAATAAAGAAAAAAAGACTGGAAACTTGAAAAGACAAATGCTTTGAATTAAAATGGGACACAATCATACATTTCAAACTTGACTCGTTTCTCTCTCTACATGGGTACTTTGAGTAGTTCTTTTAATGTTATAAAATGCAACCTCTAAAACTGAATACAAACTTTGCTTAAATAAATAATCAAAATTGTTATCTAAGCATTCGACCGCTTGAAGCCTACCACATATTTAGTTAATGCAAAAACTACCTTTGACAACTATCCCACGTTCTTGACAACCGTTTTACAAAAACTGCTTTGTTTCAACTGTCTGCACGTTTGACTTGGCTTTAAAAAGAACTTGATATAAAATTTGGCTAAGTCCTTGAAGCCTTTTCCTTAAGATCTCGACTAGGTTAGACTGTGACCTCTACTGTTTAGAACATGTCGAAGCTTCTCCATTCCCATATGGTGAACCAATCGATGTCGAAACTATCCAAGCCACTTGGCGCTAAGCTTCAACTCTTATAACCTCTAATTGACTTAGTCAAAAATTCCTGGCTAACAAATTGCCCCCAAAAAGGCACATTTCGACTGATATTATTTTTGACAGAAATCTGGCTTTTTTTCTTCTCATGGACTTTCGACCTCATTCCTACTTGCTGACTGTTATACCCTAATTTTTGTCCCTAATATTTCTCATCATCTCATGTCACAATGCATAAAGACACACACATTAGGGTTGTTTCTCTATTTATCCTATATTTAAGTTTTCTCTTGAGGGATTACCAAGCACCTTGAATTATGTATCTTGTGCATGTGTTCTTTTAACTAACATTAATATGTGTATATATGTTCCTTTGAATGTTCATATTGTAGGTGATCATAATTGCATTCATCTCACTATCTAATATAGGATTTTTAGGGTGATTCACAATTGCAAGAGCTCAATTTTCAAGGTCATGTCTATGACATCAAAGATTTGTGGTTCAAGGAGCTCTCTCAGTTTATTTAAGTCATGATTTCCTCAAAGTTAGTGGTGGAAGACATCAAGAAGATTCATAGGTTCATATGGTTATTTCTATGCCTTCTTCAATAAGCTTCATTGACACTTAAGCTCTATATTTGAGTGTGCTTCAAGACAACACCATTTCAAGATCTCTTATGGTTCACGATGCTTATTTTTCCAAAGAAGTTCAAAAGGATTCAAGGTTGACTCAACAAACTTGACCTAATTGAACAAATACTTGATTTAGAGATCAAAAGGATTCAAGGATAACTCTCTCAATTTTCAACATTTTTAGTTGGTTCCTTTTGCTATGTATTCTTATCATCATCTACAACAACCTTTCTTCACATGAAGAGATACAACTGTGCAAGAAAAATAATCAAAAGTTGAAAGGGGTTTTAAGTCATTTTGACACTCTCTGAGCTAAGGTTTGTTAACTTCTAAGGACCATATCTTTCTCATTATTTGAGATTTTTGATTGGTTCCAAATCCATGATTCTCTTTAAATAGTACTTAACAAGCTCTATTAGGAATTTTGAACGGAAGATTACTAAAAGATGAGAAAGATTACACGTCTCCTTGAAAGGCCTTTGAATTTTAGGGTTTGACTTTAAATGATCATAACTTGGTAAATTTTAATCTCCTTGATCCCATTCTTTTTCCACAATAAACTTCAGGATATGAACTTCACCTTTTATTTTATGTTCAAAGCTTAAAAATGGTTAGAAGATGCCTTAAGT